CCTCAAAATCTTGGTTATGCTTACTATTAGCATATATTATAGTCTCTCTCTCTCACTGGCATAATATACAAGAATATTCTGCAAAAGCATTAGTATTATTATATTATAATACAAACCAATGCAAGCAAAACATTTTTAAAATGATCCGTTTTAGGTTTGTTCACAAAATCATAAAAATGTATGTAAATTGCCTTACATACTGCGAGTTATAAGCAAATTGTAATTTATTCATAGCATTATCCTTTTTATGCTTAATAAATTCGCAAAATTGTGCTCTCATTAAATACAAAACGCTATTTTCCACATGGGTGAAATGATATAAAATTGTGCTATCTTTATTATTATAATATAATGGAAAATGTTATGGAATATTATGGAAAATGATATAAATTTATACATAATAAAAATCTATCATACTTTATATAAAATAAATTTTATAAACTACACTCTGATAAATTATCTAAATCCATTATAATTCAAAGTGTTTATGTTAAATTATAAACAAATAAAAATATAGCACGACAAAATAACTATATAAATCAAATAAAATAAATTTAATCTAAAGTAAATCTGTATAGTAAATTACTAAACATGGTAAAAGCAATTTAAAATATTATGGTAAAAATATTCAACACTCACTCCATTCCGATCGGCAGAAGTTAGCAATAATATCGTTATAGAGTTGGCGCTGATCTCTACTCCACTTACGGGGCGGGCGTTGATCGGCCGCACCCGTGGCCGGTGTTGGGGCGGTCATAGCCTGATCCACTTGGGGCTCATCAATTAACCTCGGTGTCTGCGAATCCAACTGCACAGACCTCTGCAAATGACCCGGCTGCGGCTGGTAGATAGTCTCCTTGGGCACACCCGGTGGCACCTCTACCGTTTGCATGCGGCCTTGTTTTTTGCCCTTTTTACCCTGATTATTATTATGATGGCCGCCCTTACGGTTATGATGGCGGTCGCCCTTCCGGTGCTTATTCTCCGTGTGTTGGTTAGTGGCGATCGGTTTTTTGTCGGCCACCGATTGTTGACCACCCGGTGCTGCTGTCGGGGGCGCTGGGGCTGAGTGTTGGGCCTGAATGCACATGTCGTTGTCGATGGGAAATTGGCCGCACTCCACGATTTTAGGCCACGGGTAGCCGTAGTTGAGCATCACGTGCTCACACGAGCTCTGCACCGACACGCATAGGGAACGACACGGCGGTATGGGATGGTCGAGACACCTGGTAAGTAATTGGCATATTAATTTTTACCATGTTTTATTAATTTTATCATTTTTACAGGTGTATTCATAGTTAGAATATATGTCTGTCTTTTAACCGAGGTTAAATCATAATCATTAAATCATAAATTTCCAATTAATAGACTTTAATTGGAAATTGATATAGTTATATAAAAAATCACGTGTGTCCTTGATCTTGGTAATATGATGACAAATAATAATAATATTATTATTATTTAAATCATATTACATAGTTCAATGCTATTTATTTACAGTACAATCGATTGACCTTAATAATAAAATTGACCATAATTACTGCATGTTTTAACAATTACATATCAATTAAGCCCAAAATTGGCAGCTATTAAATACACCTAATTTGATATCAGTTTATTGCAAAATAACACCAAATACTTACACCGGGCTAAACAGAGAACACAGGAACAGCTGTGTGTCAGGGTGGCAATTGAGCTGGGACAATGGCACCCAGCTCTGTGCCTGTTGGGACACCTCGGTCAACGTATCATGATTCAATAGGTTGGGTAAACGCATCTTAGTGTAGCCGATACCCTGGCATAGGGTCACATTGGTTGGTATGTCCACACATACGGCCCCGTTTTGTTGCTGTGGCGACGATGATCTAGATGATTGTTTATGTTAGAATTTGATATTGTAATTTAATTATTAAGTTATTAAATGATTATGCTTATTTAATTATAATTTTGTAATTAATTCTAAATTAGTTGCTATTAATGTAATACTTGTATTATTTATATTGTTATAGTTAAATTTGAGAGAGAGAGAGAGAGAGATTTGATAATAAATTGCTTTCTTATAATAATTATGAGCGGAGAATAAAAAACTAAATATATATTTCAATTCAACTTATATTTCCTGTTATTTCTTGTTTTACACAAAAAAGACTTTTTATGAGGAAATAAACAGTCTTTTAGTTTAGAAAAATCATAACTTTTATTCATAAAATATATGTAAATATTGTAATA